AAAGGCATGTCGTATAGAATGCAATACATGCGACGTTTAATATTTTGGGCTCTGTAGTGTAAGGGTGAATGGGAGTGGAGTATTTTTTATACTGTATGCAAAAGCAGCATGTTTTATATTGTGTAAAGCAGAGTGTTGTCTGGGTTACATGTAACTCAATATTAACTGTGATACCCAATATATACTACAAAATATGTTATTCTACACATTATAGATGTGTTAGAAACATAGTCATCAGGACCGATGCAAAGGTTTTGTGACCCCCCCACCAATCAATGATACGTGCCCCACTCTATTATATCTCAACTTTCATAAGATAATATTCATATAAAATTCAAATTTTATTGTAACTTGATTATGTACAATAATGGTTCATATGCAATGTAGGTGAAAAATTCAATTAAAAAAAAAATTGAAAATAAATACAATGCATTTAAATAGAAATTAAAGACTTGTCATAGATCATTCCAACGATGTTTTGCGGTAATTTTTAACATCAACTTGAGATTTTACTTGTTAAAAAGTTGAATAATTTTAACACTATTCAACATTATGGATAGAAGATAATGAATTTTACATCTTTTTTTTTTTTTTTTACCATAAGCCAAACAAATTCACGGATTTGGACAAAAATAAAAATAAAATAAATGACGTCAAATTCCGCGAAAATTTTTCATCGTTTAATAGTCAGTTGTGTTAAGTTTAATTTGTAACGTATATAAATGTAGATAGAAAAAAAAAGCAAATGCTGATAGAAAAAGGCGAGTCACAAAGCACTTCCAGAGACAGCTAATCCGACCTGCCACCCCCAGTTAGGTGGAGAAGGGAGTAATATACACCGGCTTTGATAGTACTTAAATTGTCTTATTTTTACAGGACGGCATCGAATCTTTTAAAAATAGTAGTGTTTACTATTGTATTTTATAGTGTAATTAGTCAGTATTTGTTAATATGCCTATCTCATCCTTTATAATCAGACCTTAAGAGTTTGATTGCCAATTAAGAAACGTGAGCTGCTTGTCCAGTTAAGTGCTTTCGACTTTATAAAACGCATTGGGAAAAGCACTAGTGGGAATACTGATTTCTTTGAAATGAATAACCACTACTTTGATTGGCAATTATATATATATATATATATATATATATATATGAATGTATGTATATATATATAGAGAGAGAGAGATAGAGAGAGAGAAAGACAGAGAACTACACAGACGGACAGATAAGATATACACGTTGTATTGAAAACTTTTAATTGACAACTTTATCATCGTTGCAGTTTACTGAGTACGATTGTGTTTCTATATATATATATATATATTCTATATATATATATATATATATATATATATATATATATATATATATATATATATATAGATAGATAGATAGATAGATACATAGATAGATAGAAAATATCAAATCTGAAGTTGAAAGGATAATCCAAATATGATCATAATAACTGAACTCTCTCTCTCTCTCTCTCTCTATATATATATATATATATATATATATATATATATATATATATATATATAGAGAGAAAGAGAGAGAAAAAATAGAGAGAGAGAGACAGATAGCTATACACGTTGTATCGAGCACTTTTTAATTGCCAACTTTGTCATCGTTGCAGTTTACTGACTACAATTATTTTTCGCTATATATAAATATATATATATATATATCTTTTCGCTATATATCTTTTCGCTATATATATATATATATATATATATATAAATTATTTTATTTCTCTATATATATATATATATATATATTATAATTATTTTCTTTTTATCTTAATACATACATATATATATATATATATATATATATATATATATATATATATTATGAATAAAAATGACAATAGGAAAACTGGTAATTACGAAAATTTTCGTATTTGGACTTTTGATAAAGCAAAATACGAAAAAACGTATCAGCAATAAAAATCCAGTTTTCCTATTGTCATTTTTATTCATAATATTGTCTTCTCTACCGATTAAATCGGAGAAATTTTCATATATATATATATATATATATATATATATATATATATATATATATATATATATATATAAAATTCATTCGAATGGATATGAGTTTGTAACCCTGGGTTTCACGCTTCTGCGATCATTAAACAAACTGATTTATTTTTAAAATTTGAATCTATATTAGTCTGTGTTTGATTATGTTTGGTGGTGCCGGGCGGGGGAATCTCCTCTGTGTCTATTTTAGGATGACACTAATGCGCACGCAGACATGCATACAGGTGTACGCATTATAGTTCATACTCTCACAAGCATAGATAAACAATGTGATACCAGGCGAGCACACATACATACGTAATATTGAGCGCTTTCCAAAAAAGTACCGCGCATATATCATATATATATATATATATATATATATATATATATATATATATATATATATATATATATATATATGTATATATATATATATATATATATATATATATATAGTACAGAATTGTTCATCCAAGACAAGGCCCCAGAGCCACTCAAAGTAGATGTGCGTGATATGAGTTTGTAAACCATTTGTTTCACAAAGTAGCAGTTCTTCGGAAGAAGCTGTTTGAATATGATTTTCTTCTTCCTAATGGTAGTTTTGTGTATAATGATAAATTACATCCGGAAGCAAGGCCTCTGATCGAGATATTGGAAGTTTTGCGGATCGTAGAACCACCTCTTGATTGCTGTTGGCCCCAGATCTGCCCTGACACCCTGGTGGTAGCACCCTTTAGGATTACAAGCTGTCGGCAAATAGTGAATTTCCAAATACAACACTATGAAAGTATAAAGACATTTTTTATAGTAAAATTACCAGCAATACAGTTTTCTCAAAAAATAAAAATAAAAAAAAAATACTAAAATGACCAGCAATGCATTTTATTACCAACATTTTATGGCAAATTAACAATATGTTTTACCTGTAGTAGAAGTTCAAAATATTTAGATTTCGACATTAACCCTTTGAACCCCGCGTTCCTGAACAATTTTAACCCTGAGTCAAAATTCGCAAATAACTGGTATGTAATGTTTCAAGGTAGATATAAAAATAGTTACAAGTATTTACCCACCATTCAACCGGTAGCTGGGAATTAAGTCATTTTTCTCTATTACCGGTAAATCGGTGGTCAGGGCTCAAAGGGTTAAATAGCCCATAGAGGTGTTGATATGCCACTAAACAAAATCAACCAAACTTCGTCGTCGGCTTGAATATTTATAAACATGCATTTAATTTCAGTTAACATTTAATTTAAACATATTTATAGTAAAATGACCAACAATACATTTTATCTGTATTTGAAGGCATACAATTACATTCATAATATTTAGGTTTCGGCATTAAATAACCCATAGAGGTGTTGATATGCCACTAAACAAAATCAACCAAAGAAACAACCAACATGTAAGAACTCTTTCATGACATTAATCCATATAATATCCTATAATCTCTTAAAATCAAACTGTATTCCAAAATATAATTTCAACAAAACTACAACATAAAAGACACATATCACCGCTCTTAGTAATTATGTCCACACAAACGTATATGCACAAAAGCTGAGTATTATCTACCATGTATTCAATTGTGAAAGCAGAATAACATACATCGTATTTTTTATTACTTCAAAGCTCCCCCCAAAATTAAATTTCGCTATTAAATGACCCATGAGGTGTTCATATGATGTTAGACAAACAAATTAACCATAATAATGGAATACGAAGAAAATGGAGATCGTATGTAGCAGTGAGGGTCTTAGCTGTGAAGGTCTGAACTAGTCGTATTTATTTCGACTTAGTCTTTTGCATTCACTTTCGCACAAATTCCTTTGGGGAATGCATGGATTCATCTCTTCTCCTCGCTACCGTCTATGGATTACATAGCTGGGTAGTCTGGATTGTGGGTAAAAACTCTATATTAAAAACCACGGAGAATTAAAAACTGTCCAATATCTTTCCCAAGCTGTCTCGATACTAAGCTTGATCAGTTCTATGAGGTCAAATTGGCGGCAAATCTCAAAAACGACCTACAGCCTGTTGTTAACTGGGGCAAAGAATGGCTTGATAATTTTAATGCCTATAAAACTAAGCTGCTCTCTGTTAATCATTTGAGAGATCCCTTTCTGCTTTTCACCAGCATGGCTGATGCTAACCTCCAGGAGAGTGACTTGTTGCCAGTTTATATTGAATCTATTGCTAGGTTAGCTGTTAAAAAGATCGGTTCTCTGTGTCGTGCTAGATAATTCTTCTCTCCAGAATCTATCTTACGTATCTATAAGTCTACCATTCGCCCATGCTTTGAATATTGCTGCTACATACGGTCCGGTGACCCTGCTTTTTATTTAGAGATTCTTGACAACATTCAAATGAGAATCAGCAATATTATTGGTCTTCACCTGGCATCTCAGCTTCAGTCACTTTCCCACTACCATAATGTAGCTTCCCTGTGCCTTTTCTATAAATACTTTCATGGTAATTGTTCAGATGAGCTCTTCGTTATGGTACCTAGACTCTTTGAATTTAAGTGCAGTACTAGATTGGCAGATAGATCTCATCAATTTACAGTTGAATTAGCTATATGTAACCGTAAGTTCCATGCTAACAGTTTCTTTTCTCGCACTTTTTGCCTGTGGAACTCAATTCTGGCCCCATGCTTTCTGGCCATCTTTGATCTTCAGAAATTTAAATGTAATGTCAATCGTTATCTACTGTCTTCCTGATAATTCGTCAAATGCTCGCTCCTAAACAATGTTTTCTGTTTTTTAATTCTTCCATATCCACTAACCCCATGTGTCATAATGGCTTGAAATTGTTAATCGGGGAGCCAAATTCCCGTACGATTCCCCCTACCGAAGTTAAGCAACGTCGAGCCTAGTCAAGGCCTAGATGGTTGACCGCTTGGGAATACCAGATGCTGTAAGCTTGGCTATGCGGGTGGTGTAATGGGTAATGGCTTGAAATTGCTAATCGGAGGGTTCCCGTACGATCACCGAAGTTAAGCAAAGTCGAGCCTAGTCAGTGCCTAGATGGGTGACCGCCTGGGAATACTTTGTTATATTCACTTACGCGCAATGGGTTAATTAGTAAGTCTTGTATCACGAAATCATTATTACTTTCCCCAAAAATAAAAATACTTTATGGCTTTAAATAACATGCAAGGGGGTGATAAATAGCAGAAAACGAATCAATCAATCAATATTTGCTACTATAAACTGTTGCTGGTAAAACGCTCGCTGATATCTAATTTGGCGGGAAAGATTTGAAGCCGCATTTACGTCTCGCGTTGTTGAAACTCGTCTCTAAGCCTACTAAAGAAGCGTTCTAGCATGGTTTTGAAACCCGGTCAATGGTGATCGTTAATCGGTACGACATAAATCTGATAGAATAATAATATTTAATATATATTAAATGGAAAAGCTTACTACAATGAAGCGACCCCTAATGATATATATATATATATATATATATATATAGTAAATGGAAAAGCTTGCTACACTTCAGCGACCCCTAATGAATATATATATATATATATATATATATATATATACGATTATTAAATATAGTTTTTACTTGTGTGATGTAAGTATCGTATTTTTTAAAGCTTGCTTTCTGTTTTCAATTTAATAACAGCATAGACCGCTTTTTTCTTAACCATATTTACTTAGGTTTTTGACAAACCAGCTGCTACGTACCTACATATGTATACAAATCATGAGCGTGTGTGAAAACGTGTGTGGGTGCGCCCGCGTGAGCGTTTGTCGGTAGTCAATTACCAATCAGAACAACGGTGGAGGTGAAGAAATAGTGATATTTTAATAACGTTTGTAGCACACAAGACAGCAGTCCGGGAGAATTTAAGAGCGCTCGTAATTTGCAGCCTTATATAGCTTTATATGAAGAAGTGAAATACCTTGGAAATATCTTCAAGCTCCTGCAACACCCTAATTATTTCATATTCAATGCGAAACTGAAAGCTTGTAAAATATTTCAAAATAGAAGCCTGCACCATTCGATCAAACCCAACGAATCAAAATATATTTTTCTACCCATGGCCGGTGTAAGACTCTCCTGCTCCTACCCGTATCTGAGACATGTCCCCGAAACTTTTTATCGCGGTCCCCCACTCTTGTACATTTCAATTCTCATAGGGTAGTATTCATATAAAATATAAATTTTATTGTAACCGAATTCTGTACAATAATGGATCATATGCAATATAAATAAAAAAATTCAACTAGAAAATAAATACAATGTATCTAAATACAATTTAGAGACATGTCATAATAGATCACGAATCCTGTGGCCTATCAGGGTCACCAGGCAGCACATGTACCGCAACCGTACTTTGGGAGTAAGATAGTCTGGCGGAGCCCAACCCTCTCCAGGCAAGTTTGCATTCAGTTTTCCTTCTCATAGACTGGTTGCCATCCAAGGTTATAAACCAAGTCTGTCCTGCTATTTTTTACCCATAGCTGGGGAAGAAGAAAGAAATTCATACCTTCATACCGTAAGTGAATGTAATAGATCCGACTGAAATTCGAACTCGGCTCCTCGATTCCTGAATCCGAGCCGCTATCCATTACTCCTTCTTAAATAAATCAACAATGTTTTGTCGCAATTTTTAACATCAACTTTTAATTAACACACAATAAAAAAAAATAGAGAATTTTATATTGTATTTTTTTGAGACTTAGCATGAATAAATCAAATTCATGGATTTGGATTTAAAAAAAAAAAAAGTTCCCAAAATGACGTCAAAATCCGTTGTGCTTAATTTGTAAAGAATGCAAGTAGATAAAAGCAAATAAAAGTTGATAAGATAGCGTGGATTACAAAGCACTGCTTGAGTTACCCAGTCAAGTTTGGCCCCCTCCACATGTACTGAAACCACAGTGGTGTTTTGGGGGCAAGGTGGCCTGACGATTCCATAATAATAACCCACTACAGCCCGGGTTGAATTCAGAGTTTTTCTTCTCCTAGACTGGTTGCCACCCAAGGTTATAAACCCAGTCTGTCCTGCTATTTTTTACCCATAGGTTGGGGGAGAAAATTCATACCTTTCCTAAGAGTATTAGCACGTAAGGGAATATAATGGATCCGACTGAAATTTGAACTCCGCTCTTCAATCCGAATTGCTATCCATTAATCCGTCTTAAATAAATCAACAATGTTTCGCGCCAATTTTTAACATCAATCTGAGATTTTTCTTCTTAAAAGTTGAATATATTTTAACACATTTAACATTATGGATAAAAAATAGTGAATTTTATATAGCGTTTTTTTCGGATCCGGATGAAAAATAAAGAAAACAGAATGACGTCAAATTCCGTGAAAACTTTTCATCTTTTAATAGTCACTTGTGCTTAGTTTAATTTTTAACATATATAAATTTAGTTAGAAAAGAAGCAAATGTTGACAAGATAGCGCGTGGTCGCGAAGCGCTACCTGGGATCCTCAATCAGGTATGGAGCCCCCGTCAGGATTTCGTAGGTAGTACGCACCGGCCCTGGGTTATATTCAAACACATCGAAAATAAATAAGTTTAAAAGTTTAAAATTTCAGAATCTTTCCCCTTTTGTGCGTATGTGTAGTTACATCAACAGAAACATCACTTTAGTCTTAAAGAACAAAACGCTTAGCACAAAATATTATTTTCCTTTTCGTCATTAATTTCCCTAACACTAACAGTCTAATTAAGCATATATTGTATATTACTATATAGTGTTGAAATATGAATTATAATGGTATTTCGAAACGGAGGCATATAGACATCTGCATGGTCAAGCACCAAGCGGACATCTCTCCAGGCAAATACCTCTCTTGCGGGAGTTTTTTGGAGTTATTACCCGTAAGTGTCGAGGGGGCTTTAGCAATTTTTGAACGGCTTTCTAAAATTCCACGTTAAACACCGACCCGGTGTCACATTCTGTTACTACGTGAGCGTGTGGGTGAATACCTCTTCCATTTGGATGTTGATTAGCAATTAAAGATACTTTCGAAAGTAGCTTAATCACCAATAATACCGTTCTTCTATCAACTATTAAAAATCAGTAGACAAATAAAAGATACGTTTTTTATGTGTCCTTTACGTTAATAGTGTGGGTAGTGTCAATATATATATATATATATATATATATATATATATATATATATATATATATATATATATATAAAGACATTTTTATGTTTTAACGTTCTTTTTTTATAGATACAAGTATTTAAGTAAATGCTCTGTTTATAATAAACAGTATTAAATAACATTTATCCCCGGTCTGAATGAAATTTTCATAGAAAATATTCGTCCTATTTAAAATTTCTCGGACATTCAAGCAAAACTTAAATACTTGTAACTAAAAAAGAACGTTAAACAGGAAAAAATGTCTTTAATAAATAAATTGTCGGATTTTTTCCATTTCTTAATATATGACGTCATTTGTTTACATTTGATACGCCAGAGCAGTTATGAATGTACGAGATTCATGGAAGATTGAAGTTTATAAGGGTAAATTCGACCTTGCCTACCGAACGCTCCTTTGTGGCCGATCGGTAAGGCACGTCAGCGTAAATGACGGTTCCGTATAGGATGCAGGTTCGAATCCTGTCAAAGGACGAATATTTTCTATGAAAATTTCTCGGACATTCGGGCTGGTAAATGTTATTTAATACTGTTTATTATAAACAGAGCATTTACTTAAATACTAGTATCTATAAAAAAGAACATTAAACATAAAAATGTCTTTAATAAATAAATTGTCGGACTTTGTCCATTTCTTTATATATCAAAGTGCAGCTTATATTTTATATCATAAAGAAACAATTTATTCAAAGAATTAAGTAGCAATGTTAATATGATAAATGGCGAAATCACTTCGCTAACAGAACAGAATGGTAATTAACCATATATATATAATATTTTTTGTTTAAAAATATGATTCCTTCGCTACATAAGAGTTCTCATGTTTTACAAACGAGAGCCGAAACCATCCAAATAATTATTAAAATTAAGTTGAATTGAGGTGTTTAGTCCCGTTTCATCTTCATGCGAAATTTTAGGAATAGGCTATCTCTTGGTTTACGTGCGTTTTTAGGCATGGTCCGTTATAACATTCGTTATTGTGGGAGTGGCTAGGCTAGTTTTCTTCGTTAAGTGGTCAGTGAGTTAATTCTTATCTATAGATTCATCATCTTCTGAGAGGTTTTGCTAAGGTTGGGTAGGGTATCTATTTCAAGGCTAATGTTGGCGGTCATCCTTTAGTTGGTTCCCAGTGAGGGATAATTTTATGGCGCGCCTACAAGTCGTTATGTGCCGGGAGGATTGTGTTTTATTATTGTCCATCTGATTATCTATTTATTTATTTGTTTATTCAAGTGGGTGTTTTATATACAAACCGTATTGCACTGAATTTAAATTTGTTTTTTTGTTTTTTTTTTGTTTTTTTGACGACTACAGAAAAGGGTTTTTCCTATTTAATGATTTGGCTAAGCTTTTAAGACTTTTATTAAGCTATGGGGTTTCTTTTTTAATGCTAATTATTTAATGCGAAAGTTTGTTGATGTCGGCAAAAAACCGTTAACTCCTGCCTATGGTTTAATAACTTTTCATTATTTAGAAATTTAATGATGTGTAGTTTTTCGTGTAGGCATAAAGGGCATAGGTCATCCCAGGTTTTACAAGTTCTTGTTTTATTTACATGGTAGATTCTCCCGTCGTATTCGATGTATGAGGGTCTAGTAGTTCAGTTCCTAGGAACGACAGCTATACACCACCACATATATTTTGATTATATTGGTGAAAGCTTTGTGCAGAACCAGCCACACATTTTGAAGCGCCATATACGGAGACCTGGTGCACTACGTACCAAACAAGCCTTACTCGTCCTTCTCCTAGACCAGTTGCCATCCAAGGCTATAGAACCCAGTCTATCCTGCTATTTACCCAGAGCTGAGGGGAGAAGATTTATTATTATTTTTTTATTTTTATTTATTTATTTTTAAACATTGTGCATTACATCAGCCGGTTGAGCATTCGAGGAATCTTCATAAAGAAAATTCG